TGTAGGCATGGGATCCAACTGCTCAGAAGTAGAGGGGCTGTTTGGCCATTCCCAATTTGCCAACGAAGGCCCTGGCTCAACAATTGGCCCCCAAACAGGACACTCTGCCACCCTCAGGATGGACGAGATCGCGCCTTTGCCTCAAGGAACTCACTCCTCGGAAAGTACTTCCCCTTATACACCTGAGCTAGCAGCGACTCAGGATCTCTTAAGATACGCCATCCAATTTTAGCCAATAGCGCCTGATTAAAGTGATCAAATCGCCTAAATCCCATCCCCCCTCATGCTTACTACAACACATATTCCGCCAAGACATCCACCTCATCTTTCCTTGGCCATTCTCTACTCCCCACCAAAAATGAGCAACATGTCTATACAAGAGACGGCAAAGAGAGAGGGGAAGCTTGAAGCACGACATAACATGTAAAGGTAGAGCCAAGGCCACCGACTTGATTAAGGTCTCCTTGGCTGCCCATGACAAGGTACGCTGCTTCCAGCCCTGTAATCGAGCTAGCAACTTCTCCTCCAAATAACAAAACGTCTCCATTTTAGACCGGGCTATAAGAGAAGGCAACCCCAAGTATTTATCATGAACTCCTACCGCCCCCACACCCAGCACCTGGCCCATGAATTCTTGATCTGAACTTACAATGTTTTTGCTAAAGCAAACCGCCGACTTGGCTAGGTTGACCCTTTGACCACTCAGCTCCTCATATTCATTCAGGACTGTGATCAGATTCTCACATTCTTGGAAAGATCCCCGGAGAAACAAATAGGAGTCATCAGCAAAGAAAAGATGTGAGATTCGAGGGGCCCGAGGCGCCACTTTAACTCCCTGCAGCTTCTTTTCAGTTATGGCTTTCCTCAAGAGGGCAGCAAACCCCTCCGTGCATAAGACGAATAGCAGGGGAGACAGAGGGTCGCCCTGCCGCAGTCCACGGGAGGGCGCAAAATATCCCTTCTGAGTGCCGTTCATCATAACCGAGAACGAAGTCGATTTGAGGCACTCGTGGATCCAACCACACCAAACCGAGCTAAAGCCCATCTTGGCCATCATAGCGAGTAGAAAAAGCCATTCGACTCTATCATAGGCCTTTTCCATGTCAACCTTTAGAGCCATGTACCCTTTCTTCCCTCGCGACTTGATTTTTAGATAGTGCATTAGCTCATGCCCTAACAGGACATTATCCACGATTTGGCGCTCTCGAATGAACGCATTCTGCCCTTCCGTGACAATAATCGGCAGGATAGTAGCCAATCTTTCGACAATGATTTTGGTAATAATCTTGTAAACGAATTGGCAAAGGCTTATTGGCCGAAGCTCCCGAATAGACTCCACATTATCCACTTTCGGGATCAGGGTCAACCAGGTGTGGTTGAAGCTGCGAAGCAACTTACTCGTCGCAAAGAACGAGCACACAACATCAATCACTGAAGAACCAACGATGTCCCAGAAAGTCTTAAAGAATTTCCCGGTGAACCCATCCGATCCTGGAGCCTGCTTGGAGCCCATTGCAAAACAGTAGCCCTTACTTCCTGGGGCAAGACTTCCGCCGTAAGCCTCGCATTCATGGCCTCAGTAACCCGACATTCAATTGGAAGTTGGCCCACCCGCTCTGTCATATGCACCACCTGGTTTTCAGAAGTGAAAAGTTGTTGGTAAAAGTCAGTAGCAATGTCCGCCTTTCCCTCCTCATTGGTGATCCATTCTCCCTCATTATTACGTAGGCCAACAACAAAATTATGCTTTCGATGGGCCCGAGTCACCGTATGAAAGTATGAGGAATTTCGATCCCCTTTATTGAGCCAGTGAACCCTGGATTTCTGCTGCCAATATACCTCTTCTGCCTCCCATTGTCTACCCAACTCCGCTTCCAGAACCCGCACTGAATCCCAGTCTATGGGCGAACTAGATTTAATCCGATCAATCTCCGTTTGCAGGGTGCGAATATTCCGGAGAGAGTTAGTAGTGCCTACTCTACTCCAGTCATACAACAAATGCCGCAATTTCTTAAGCTTCTCCCATAGTTGAAACATCGGGGTACCCGGGATAACCTCCTGCCAGACATATGACACCATAGCTCTAACCTCCAGATTGTCCACCCAGCGAGCGTCAAATTGGAATAGAGGTCTGGTTCGGCGAGCATAAGGCTTGTCTGCCAATAACAACGCACGGTGATCAGATCCCTGGTCTGTGAAGTGTTTAACAAGGGTATCGGGATAAGTCAACGTCCAAGAATGTGAGCAGAGAGCTCTATCCAAGCGTTCCCGAATGTAGGCATTCCCTATTCGTCTGTTGGACCAAGTGAACGGGTCTCCCTGAAACCCTAGGTCATGGAGACCCAGGTCATAAATAAAGTTCCGGAGACCAGTCGCTTGGTTAGCATTCCAAGCATTCCCCCCGTCTTTTTCACTGGCCTGGAGAGTCACATTGAAATCTCCCATAATCACGTACGGCCTATCAAATGAATCACAAATACCCCGCATCTGAGCCAATTGGCCAATACGAATTGATTCAACACAGCTAAAGTAAACGAAGACTACCATGTAGGAAAAATCCCTTTCATTAATACGAATACAAATGCAAAAATTCGAATGAAAAATAAGCGAAGCATCAACTTCGGGTACCCAACCGACTACAAGACCGCCTGATCCCTCAACAGCATCCACAAAAAAACATTGCGACAACTGAAAACCCAAACCCCTCATACAACGCGACACGACTCTCCGGCGCGATCTTGTTTATGAAAAGAAAACAAGGTCCGGTTTTGTTAGAATAAACTAACCCGACAGCAGTTTGGAATGTGAGGGAAGACCCAATTCCTCTCATATTCCAGGCCAATAGCCTCATTTATCTAACTGGGGCCACTCCGGGCTGGCTTCTTCCACCTTTTCATCAGTCACTTCCACGAATTGTTTCTTGGGCGTGGGTACCTCACCCACCTCACCCTCAACCTCCTCTAGATGCCTTTTGCGTCCCTCCATAGACGGAACTAGAAGGTTGGAGCCATATTCATCAATCGCTGCTCCCAATAAACTACCATCCCCCTGGCCACCATGTGACTCCATTGCCGCCGATTCCTCTCTTAAGGTTAGGCCAGATTCGAAAGCAGTAACAACCTGGCGAACATGACCCTTCGCCACACAACGAGCTTCTGCTCCAGCTGGTATCAGCGACCTCTGCTTTAGTTCAAATGAATTAGCCTCATCCTCGGAAGGTGAGTCCAGCAGAGAAGAGCCACTCAACCCTGGCGCCGGAGTTGTATTTTCTGGGAGGCCAGATAATGCCCCAACTGGATCCGACATTCTTGGAATGGTGGGCCCTTTTCTTAAAATCACGCTTTGGGCCTTTCTTACTCTGTCTCGGCCTGTTCGCAGCAGCAGCTGGGGCCTGATTTCCCCGGGCCGCACCTCGCTGCTTAGAAGGCTTAGGACTGGGCTTTGCCACCTCAACCGGCCGAGCCTCCGGCCCATTCTTGCCCGCAAGCCCACTCTTCTCTGCCATGGCAGTCTTGCGTAACTTGGAGGCCCTATGCTTGGGCTTAGCCACCCCTGTCAGACGTCCAACAGGCCCCTTCTGCCTTTGAAGCCCATGTTCATTAGCAACCACAAGCCCAACTTGATTTTGAAGCCCATCCCCATCAGCAACCACCCCCCTGGTCGGAGTCATTGGCTTCGTGGGCTGCCCCTGAATAGGGCTTCGAGCATTGGCCTTATTGTGAGGAGCCTCTCCATGGAACACAAAGTCATCATCACTATCCTCCAGGAGGATTAGTCTTCGCCGCCGTCCAACATCAACCGTCTCATGAGGGGAGTTCATATCTCTCAGATCATCCTGAACTGCCATCCTCGTCTCAGCTCCCATCACATCGAGTCGCGCCGTTGACCGCGCCTCTCTGGTGTTCACCGGTAGATTCTTGTTACGAATTTGCTAACCAGCCTTCCTGCGCGGATCATTAAGCGGCTGGAATCTCGGGGATCGCGAAACCTTGAAACCCCGAGGGCTTCCGTGACGTGGAGGTGGATTCGGCCGCATCCAGGGAAGATGAACTCCCTCATCCGGTTGGGACCGCTGGGAAGCTTCACCCTTGGATCGTCGGACGTTCTGCGGGTGAGCTCTCCGATGTGCATCCTCCGATGGCATGACGTGCATCCTCCCCGCCATTCTAGCAGTCCCCACATTCCCCCGAACTTCCTGGTTAACCCAGACGGTTTTTCTCGCACCCCCGTAGGGCTGAGGGGTGTCCTCCTGATCAAAAACTTTCCGACCCTGCTTCTTAGTCATCATATGAACTCCATATCGTTCCTTCCTAGCCGGCGGCTCGAAGGTGCAGTCATTTTGCAAATGTCCAACTCGGCCGCAGTGGAAACAGTAACTGGGTAGGTGTTCATATTTCAAGTTAACCCAGAAATTCCCTGTCTCCTCACAAATCGCCATGAGCTGTGATCGGAGCGGCTGAGTGAAGTCAATCATCGTCTTCACTTTGATAAATTGCTCGCCTGTTTCTTTGCAGGCAAAGACGTCCGCCTCCAGAACTTGACCAATGGCACTGGAAATCATCTTCTGGCCAAATTGCTTGGTACAGCAATCTTTGGTCACTCCCCAGATTCGGACGCGAAATGGGGCCACAACCAGATCATCAAAGATGCTTCGTGTCATATTGGGAAGCCAAGATCGCAACACAAGGAGCTTGTCGTTCACTACCCAAGGGGAGCGCTTCAAAACCCAAATCTTAGCTTCTTCATTGGGCAGCACAAATTCGAAGAGACCATGCTTCGCCTGTGTAACTCGAATTTGGCCCCTCCCCACCCACGGCGCATTCACTCCCTCCCTTAGTTCCCCAGGGGTAACTCGGGCATTAGAGAACACCCTCCCCAACAAGGTACGCGATGCTTGGAACCTCGTGGACTGGATCTCTTCGAGAGAGAACTGCACCACCTGATCCTCGTTAATATGCGCCATCTCTGGAACCTGCGAGACCACCAATGGTGTTGACAAGTTAGGGATAATAAGGCCCGAAGCCGGGGATATCATGAAAGCAGATATCAGTGGGTGAAATTGGGACGGAGAACGGCGCCTGTCGAGGCAGGACTTTACAAGCAGAGTGAGCAGGAGGATGCCTCAATGAGGTTATACCTGGTTGACCACCGTCGGATGCTCGTCGTTGGGAAGCAACTCTCACCCAATCCACAACCGTTGCTATTTGTATGTGGATTGCAACTGGGGATGTGGATTTAAATAAGGAGTCGAGACCCCTAGAGCCATCACAAGGCGGGAGCCGAACAGACTGCAGAGGCAGAGTCCGTGTGGGATTAGAGAGCTTCAAATCTAATCTGTAACCGTGAGTAAACTTGGAGAATATCTCCTGAATCCCTAAAAACCAGGGATGATTATCCGGGAATAAAATTATGTTTTTATCCCGGATTTCGCTTCGCCGCCGCAACCGAGGGATGCCGGCGGAAATAATCACACAGATTGACGGCCGGAGACCAAGGCCCCCAATGCCTTTTTGCCACATTTTCAACGCCGATGCGTCGAGCTTAGTGATGGGAGCCGGGCTGTGCCTCTGATTTCCCTGGGCCTTGTATTCAGGGTTCACCAAAGAATCAGAGCAAGGCCTCTCCCGAGGATTCAGAGCAATTGAACTGGATGGACATTTTTCTTCCAATTCTAACGAGGACGGCAACTGGAATCGCCAGCCCCTTCTGGGGTTCTTCTTATGGCGTTTGGACCAGTTTATCGGAGCAAGATCTCCAGCAAGGCATTTCCATTTGCTGCATCTTTCCCTTGACTCGGGCCTTTGTGGCTTTCGCACACGAGGGTCCCGTTTAACGCCGCGGACCAATATCGATGGCCGAACAGCCGGCGCTGAGCGATAGCTAGGTTTCCGAATTGTCATCGTCACGTCTTCGGAGTGCTTCCATCTACCCCAGTTGGATTGTTGATTGCTTGCACTAGCTTGGAAGGCCGCCACCAGGATGTTGAGGATGAGTCGGCCGGCCACGCAGCAGAGACCGAGGAGAGAGGCGAGAGCGTCTCTCATGATATATATATATATATATATATATATATATATTTTTCCAATAAACCCGAGTGCTTTTTCCAATCGTTATAGATTTTAAGGTGGGATTTATTATATGTAGAATTTTTTTACCAAATAGACGATTAGGTTAGGTCCATATAGAACATCCTATTACTTTAAATAAATACTAATTTTTATTATTTTATTTGATAATCGTATGAATAGCAAAGTTGAAATATGAATATCTGTAAAAAAAAATTCATGGCAATAGATTTGTCAAGATTATGAGTCCTCATTTCCATATACATCAATGTTTGAAAAAATATGTATGCGTAAGCGATGTGAGTGCACAAAAAACTGTTTGGATCCAACACATGTACAAATCGATGTGGTTTCACATATGACACCCAACGTCATATAAGAATTTTCTTCCGAATGGAGAGAAGAGAAGCACACCGAAAGAAAATATACAAAAATATGAACCCTCTTTAGTTAATATTCATTATGATGTATATGTTGCAAGTGTTCATATAAATTGTGTCGCCGATTAACACATTTCGCTTATTTTTTTGGTTACGAATTAATCTAAGTCATTAGATGGTGAATGATAGGATTTTGTAACAATTTTGTAGTTGTGAGTTTTATACCCTATCCCTATCCCTTCCCATAATATAAGTACGTACCTATTTGGACCACACCTATCTGGATCCAATAGTTTATTTGTCCCCTTCTATGTCTCAACCTAGTTATTGACATTTGAAAAATCATATCAGTATATATCACATGATGTTGTGTCATATAAAAGGAATGATGTAAAAGCATTGTTATAAGAATCAAACCGGATAAGTGGTTAGACCAATAAAACCACTAAACCGGTTAGAATACTAGTTCAGTTCATTTGTTTTGAAGTTAGGATTGACCGAAAAGTTCTTAACAATTTTACATAAAACTAGATGAACCACTCTGGTTTGACTGCTCCGTTGGGTCACTTTTTTAACCACAAAAATTAAGAAACAAAATACTTTAACATAAACAAAGATCATCCAAAATGAAATACCTCTTCGATTTATGCTTCATTTTCTTCGTTTCCTAGCCTCCTTGTCAGCTTTATGTGGTACTCTGAACTTACTAAAAAAATTATATTTTTTGTGAGATTGTTTGGACTTTTGCTGATGGAAGATATATACATTTGAAATTGTTTATAATTAGTGACGAATTCCTTCTATATTAGTGTAGTATATATTTCTTTATGTTATCGCCCATGAAATATTCTATCGATAGTTAATTAACGATTATATAATGGTTAATCGTGAACCATAAACCACTAAATCTTTCGATTCATTTCGTTCTGAACACAATGTATAAAAGTGTTAAAACAATTACAACATAGACTTAAAACTAAGCTCCGTAATTCTAAATTTAATGTTGGCCTTAAATGCAGCTTATTTTTGGGACATCTTGAAAGTTGAAACCACCCCACCACCCCCCATATATTTGGCAGCCTGCTAATGAAACGGTCAGTGAACGGTAACCATACTTCAGGTTTATATTAATTAATTAATAATTAATAGTAGTTAATTAATGTATAACAAATATATTTCAAACATAATTCCTCTCATACAAACAAATAAAACGATTATTGAATCTATACTGTACATTGATTGACAATATATCTTCAGTTCACAACAATGTTGAATGGGTGTTAAATGGATTGAGGCAGCCATGATTACCTAAATTATGGTACAAATCTATGCTTGGCGCACCCCCAGTGCAAAACTTTAGCTTCTTCTAGCCATTTGCTTCGCTCAAAAAGAAAAAGAAAAAAAAAAACTCAATGCAGGTAGATGGTGCTGAGTTGCAATCAAATCCTCTGCAACTTTCTGCCACATACATTGGATCCCTCCTTCAGGCCTTCAAATTAATGTTGGTTGCTGCTAGCATCTCGTGGCGTTGGAGAAGAACCATCGTCCCCGCCATCACAAATCTCATTTTTACACAGTGGGCAACAGGCATTGATCTTCAGCCACTTATCCACACACTCTACATGGAATACATGGCCACAAGGTAGTTCCCGCAGCTCTTCATTGTCGTCATACACGTTTAAGCATATGCAGCACACCTGGAATGCATAAGTGGAACCAATATTCAGTCTAATCAAACATGGATAACATCAAATCCCACTTTCTCCAAGTTCATAAGAACGACTTTTCAGGCTAGTAGGAGGCCGCCACAAAAATTTACCAGCCAAGTAATGGGTTCCAAAATCTATTATTTAATTATTTACACCAATCTACTTGAGCATCTAAAAGAGTCGAGTAAAACTTACAGCATCTTCACCAGATATCATACGCTCCTTTTCTGTCCCGGCAGCCAAGACCCCTCCTTCGCCCGTTTCACAGCCATCACGATCTCGAAATCCACCCCCACCGTTCTTCAACTTGAACTTGTACTTTGGCAGACTATTTATGCACTCGGTGGTGGCTCCTCTTGTTTGAGATAACTCTTCCCGATAGCCAAGGAGAGAGATTATGCAAGGCAAGCAGCAACAGATTGTTGCGCATAATATAAACGGCATTGCATATCCTATACAGCTAAAAGTAAGGAAAACTATACACAATCTGCAAAAGGAAGAGGAAACAAAAATTGGTGATCTTCAGCTTGTAGACAAGCTGAACAAAGAGAAGACACGTGTCATAAAGGCATACTTGTACAATTTCGGTGCATCGGCTGGACTTGCATGACCTCCAAATATCCATACGTTGCCAACAACAAACCACACTGCAAAGAAGCAATCTAATGCCATCTTCAGATGATCCATTATGCTATTAATTCTGTAAAATCAGAAGCAATTACTCAGTCAGTAAGAGCACTAAATGTCGAAAGGTAAAAGGGTTATCAGCTTTGCATATCAAACTAAGAGCTTTTTAATCGGCGTCATAACAAGGAAAAAAGAGCCAAGACATTCAATCTAATCAAGCAAACTCTTACAACTAATGTTCTTTATATTACCCAACTTAACAAAATTATTGCCTGGTCCATTTAATTATTCCAACTGGCACAACTGGCATAACTGGTACTCGTAATTCGAATCAAACATAATCTTGTTAATCTGAGGAGACAAGAAGCCCTCCATGAGATGGGGTTCGGTTACCATGCAGACATGCAAGCTAAAAGGGAAAAGCAGGGTTTCGAACCTAAAACCAATAAAAATATTCAAAACAGGTACAAACCTATGTAGCTTATAGTTTTGCGCATCTAGAGTATTTCTCAAAATCTGAGCATACCATAAAACTGAACAAATGAAAGCTTTCAATTCTAACGGAAACAAGAGGTACAAAAGACTACAGCTTCCAGACTTTTATCCTAAACCATCCTCCCTGGAATTCCAATTCCTAAGCTAATCAAAGCAAACATCTTAAGAACATTGATCAGATAATAACATTTATCTTTTTGCAAATATATGGCATGCTTGAATCAGTATTACTTACAGGGCCAGCAACCAAAAATCGTACAGGAAAATCTTACCAAGGATAACCTAACTTAAGTGGAAGGCATTACCTTCTAGTTAGATTCCCCGGCGCTTGATTATCCCTTGTTGATGGTTCATTCATCTCATCCTGACTAATAGAGATAGCAGTATATGGTGTAGAATCAGGAATCCCTACTGGCGAATTGCCTTCATGTGATTGCAGGGGATCTTGCAGAATACCTTGGTTGCGAGTACGAAAACGCCAGTACAGGATTGGAAGGGTGGTCACACAGCCTGACGCATAACCGACAACCCAAGCAAATAATGGGGCTTGTGGGTGTTCATTTCTCGAGAGCAACAAAACCACGACAGAAGCCACAATCTGGCCCACTGTGATAAGTAACTCCACGGAGATCCATAACCCAGAATTCAAAGGACTCCTCCTTCGCCGGCCATACGAATCGCCTCTCCTCGAGAATGTTGAGTTCCTAGAGTTTAACCTGGTCGACATAGTTGAAGAAGTCTGGTAATTGAGAACGTCTTCTGTAGTGCTGTTGGAAGGTCTGTCTTCATGATGCGATTCGAGATGGAAATCATCACGAGGTGATGAGGCTGATGAAGAAGCCACATCATTTCTTGATATGTCAATTATTACGTGCTCATGGTCGTGATGATGCATTTTGATATGATCTATAAGCAAAGGGGATTGGTTCGGGAGATGCTGATTGGACCAGAAGAGGTGACATCCATCTAAAGTCTCTACCCCAACTAACTCTGAATTGCAGTAGAGACAAGAAATCCCATAATAGTAGGAGCCTTCTTGATATGATTTTGAGCAAATCCAATAAAAAGAATGGCTCCTGGTTGAGCAATCCGGAATTGAGAAGATAACCAAGCTTCAATCGCTTGGCAACTCGAAATAAAAAAAATAACCCTCAGCTCTGTGTGTAGCCTGGCAGAATAAGATCAAATTTCTCATCAGAACCCAATTAAATTTCTCATCAACAAATTTCGAGCATACCAAACCATAAACAGGCTGGTACTTGTCATATGAACAAAATGAATCAACTGATTTCTTATTTTCACCATGGTCAAAATTAAGAGACCTATCAAACTCTGGAGAACAATGTAGACCAAGTTCAGGATGCCAAATGAAGGGAAACAGGGGAATCCTCCATGAGGGAAACCACAATTCTAAACAATGTCAGCATATAACCAAACCCCAAACCCTAAACTAACGATGCCCCTACAAACCCAGAACATCAATTACACGTAAAGACATAACGTTCACATATTTTACAAAATTCTGCAAAAATGAAGGCACGAGGGTCAAACAGGCTGGAAGAAGAAATGAAAGCTACGTATGAGACAGATTACCGGATTTGTGCTGGCAAATGAAGAAAATGAATGAAAGGGAACAAAGGAAAAAGAGGGTTAAACGAGAAAGGGGTTTATCAAAGAATCTCACCTTCTTTTTCATCTTCTTCTGCCATTTCTCGAGAAAATCTAGCGTCAGCTTTTCTCGCCACCAGTATTGGTAATAGCTCTATCTAACGCCCCCTTCTTTTTCTCCGGAGGTAGGAAGAGAGAGGCTGAGAGAGAAAACGTCATTTTCGTCTCTTATTTTTAATTTTACTTAATTTTGAAGCTTTGGATTTCTATTTTTTAGCTGAGTTTTAAGTTTTTCGGTAGGATATTCGGAACAGAGCAGGCCGTCAGATCGTTGTAGATGGTCCGTCATTTTAAGTAATCAACGGTGGCTACTGAGCGGGGAGGTAGTTAGCTCCGCTCTGCACATGTCTCGTAATTTTTTTAAGAGTAAAAACATTGTATTAGTCGGAATAATACAATAAAAAAATACATTATATTATTCAAATTTTTCGTAAATTCAAAAAATATTAGCAAAATCTTTTAAATATAAAAATAGTGAATCGTTAGTTTTCTGTCCGAATTTATGTGAACTAATGTTGAGGTGGCATATTGAATGCTGAGTTGGCGTGGAAATATATTAAATTTTTGGGTCAAATTAATTTTTAATAACTATTTTATTATTTTTGAATAAAAGAAAAATAGAAAAAAATCCGGAGCCACATAGACGACTTATCGTTGATGCTTTCCCCGCTCGTGTTCCCCCCCCCCCCCCACCCAACACCTATGCACAATTTTGCCACCGCCACACCTAGGGGTGGAAATCGGTACGGTATCGGTATCCCAATACCAAATACCGAAATTTCGAATACTGAATTGCATCCTAAAAAGTAAAATCAATCCCAATCTCAATCCCTACATAATTTCGGTATCCCAATCCCAATCCCTAAATATTTCGATATCCCAATCGGTATTATCGAATACAAAATTAATTACCTTTACAATTAATAGTTAAATATACAAATTAGATTTTATTTTTTAATTTAGGGTAAAGCGACTAAGCAAAGAGTCTTGAGTTGCCTAGAGCTAACATTTTATAATTGGTCATCTTTAATTTGACGAATATGAGGTTGAGAGACGACTAATACTAGTGTGAAATAGTGATGTAATGATCTATGTATAATTAAATGACACTCTTGGTGGTTGTGGGTCGCGTAGTAGTGGATGAGAGAGTCTAATTGAGAGGATCAAATACACACTAGCTTATATTTCGGTATTGATCGGTATATCGGTATATACCGATCCCAATCTCGTAATCCCTAATACCGAATAACAATTGAAATTCAATCATAATCACAATCTCACAAAATAATACGTGTATTCGGTAATACCAAATATAAAAAAATAAGGCACGATATTCGGTATATACCAAATACCGGTACCAAACTTCCAGCCCTAGCCACACCTGCACAGCTTCTAATTCTTCCTCCGTCAATCGCCCTCGTGGCTCCCATAATCGACAATCGGCTTGTGCCTCCGACAATGTCGTCGGGTAAAAAGAGATTGGTCTACTAATTTACAGTGAGGGATGAGAGTTTCGTTGCCGTCGGAAAGAAAGATATTCGGTCTCTTAGCCAAACAGTTCAAATTAATACAACAAGCAAATTAATCAAACTAATGTTAAATCAGTTTGATTAATTAGTTAATCATGTTAATCGATATTACATAACACTATTATTACATGATAAAAAATACGGGTTAAATGCATCAGGTGAAAATTAAGCATGGTTCATGAACCATGGCTCAACAAGACCCCCATACTCTATGTCTATCTAGTAATTGCAAGAATTGGAATTCTAATTAAATGTATTTAGGTCTTGGAGATTGACGAGGCGATCCTACCCCAATCTCTAGGGTTTGGGCCACCATTAGATAGACGAGAATTGTGTGGTTTAACCGGAGCATGGCGCCACATTACCTTTTCATAGTGAGGTTACCTCATAAAGAATGAGATAACCTCATTATTGGAATCCTAATCTAAATGCATCACCTAGGTAGTTGGGTTATGAGAATTCATACTCAAGTCCCTCTACCTAGGTGGTAGGAGCTTTAAATACAAGACAATTGAGTTAGAGCTTAATATATGGTGCACTTGTCCTAGATTAGACTAGTTAGTATCATCGACAATCAAGTTTACAGACACTCCTTAATTCATTTTAAGAAAGTAAATTTACAGTCTTATATGAGGTCCATAAAAACCATAATTGTGAAAGCTCTCCTCATCTCTAGTTCTTCCATAGCCAGAGCCAAGTCGAACATGCCTTCTCACATACCAAGCTTCCTAAGTGTATGATCCTCTTAGAAGATGAAAATTCCACCTCTACTTTCCACTGTGTCCATTGCAATCCAACTCATATGTATGCTGCCACACATTGAGACCATCATGCTTGAATTGCATGAATCCAACTTTCTTACGAGGGACCAATAATAGAAGGTTCAGGCTCTGAAGAATTCTCTTAATTATTGAACTACTCTTATCATTACCAAAACTTTGGATGTCACCAATGAATGATTTTCATCTCCATTAATTTGAGCTCTTGGATGTCACCAAATCCTTCCTCATATTTCAAGACCCTTCGAGTGGAGGTGCAATCGTTCCAATCAGGTGTTCCTCTATCTCACTTTTGGAGAGTTGCATCCTCTTTTTTGTCTCGAGTAGCCTCCACATACCCTATATGATCCGACTCTACCAAACTAGAGTTGTCTTTTCTGATTTCCTTCTGTTAGTACCCAGAATGTTCTAGGTAATTTCTGAGGGAGAATCTAGAGGATGGGGTCCATGGGGACGAATCCGGCGGGCGAGCTCCGAGATCCTGCAAGAAAAGTCCTTAGGGGTGCCATAAGACCTCCTCCAAAGCTTAAATTAGAGAGGGAAAATGGATAAACTCACGTATTAAGAGAGAGAATATAACTTACCTTATGCCAAAGCGACAAAGGAGTACATATAGGCATTCAGGGCGTCTTTTGCATTGTGACGTCGGCTGTCAGGACTCAGGTGCCCCCTTCCTCTTGCTAGCTGGTATAACCATTAGTTATTCCTGCTGGGCTTTCTTGTAAGGCGCCTCACATTCCCCTGCTAATTGGCAATAATCATCAGTCAATCCTGTTAGGCGCTCCTGTCAGGCATCCGTGGTTCATTTCCAGCTGTCTGACAACGCGCCTCGGTCATGCGTTGTCCCGGAGGTTGTCGGACTTTGTTGGTAAATTATCGTTCTTTTGGGTTTATTGCGACTGTGGGCCTCAGACCCAAGTTTGTCCAAATATTGGGTCCAACACGTTCTAATGTCAAAACATTCAAATTGAGCGAATCTTAGTGGTTAATGTTTGCAGGTCAAAGGGTGAAAAATTAAGGGCTAAGTTATAAAGGAAAATAGAATCGGGAAAATTTTTGGGACAAAGGGAAAAATCTCTCCGGAATGGGAATTAGAGAAAATAAGAGGAAGAGAAGGAGGTTAATCATGGGAAAGATGGTTATGATTCTATAAAGGAGAAAAATGTTGGAGAACTTGGGGGATATAGGGGGGGGGGGGGGGGGGGGGGTGGAAGGCTTCCAATAGAGGTGAATGGATATAAATTATAGAATTACATGATTGATCAGTATAAGGGCTATTAGAGATGACGACATAAAACTAAATAGTATAGAGTCTCAAAGTTAATGGAATAACTCGACATTTGCACATAGAGCTCATAGTCTAGTGAGTTTGGGTTTTATCTAGGGAACATAGGGGTTCGAGTTTCTAGGAGAGTGAGACTCATGGTTTAGGAGAGGAACATGTAAATTGAGCTCAGAAGTGTTGGAGGTTGAAAGAGAGGGATTAATTATACGTGTGCTTAAGTTTATGATCATATTGCAGTGTGAATGCAGGTTTAATTGGTGCAAAGAATAGGATTGTATTGCCTAGTGATGTGATCTTGGATTGTGATCCAAAAACCATTTGATTGATGATCAAAGAAGAAACCAAGGCAAGGGAAGAAGAAGCTGGAAATTTGGCTAAGTCTGGGAAATAGTTTGTGGTACCTACTTTGGAGGCTTACTCGTTTTGTTTGGTAGACATCTGAGGAAAGGTAGGAGTTGGAGGTGAAAGTAGAAGTGTTTCTAAGCATTGTCAAGGGTTGAATCATAGATTTGGAGCTTCTTGGACACCAAACGAGTAGGTTGAAGATCGTATGGTGACCCGTCAAAATCCTCGATCAGGAAGCCAATTCCACGTCAGTGGAATAGAGGAACAAACAATGGATTTTGGGCAGAGAAGTTCCACGGCTAGAGACCCAAATCCACTATCGTGGAATGTACCCGTGGATTTGCAACCGACGAGTTAAAATTACCTTTTTGGCTTAGGATTTTGTTTCTTTTTGGGTCTTTGGTTATTTTATTTGCCCTAAACTATATAAAGGGCTTGAGACATGAATTTTTGTCAGACTTTGATGAATATTGATATTTCCTTTGAACTTTGAGGTTTAGGCTTGAGAATTTTTTTGTTTTGTATCAATCAAGTTTTCCCTTAATTGTGGCTGTGTTTCTACCTTTTATATTGTTAGAGCCTTCTCTCATCTTTTGTTGAGATTGCACTTTCAATTCCATCCTATCCGAAGCAAACAAAAACCCTATAAATCTCTTTTCTTATTCGTTCTTGAAGCTGCATTATTTTGATAACTACATGCGCCGGTTCTGTGCTCGTATCACCTAACGTCTCTCACAAGCATTCAGGTGGCAATGGACGATTTCTATGATGGTTTAATCCTACTTATTCATCCATTGATACATTCATTTCATTACATTATATTTTACTGCAACAAACAAACCTCTTTCATTTCTATAGTGTATCTACTTGTGATATTAGTGTTGTTGCTATAAGTCGCAATAAGAAATTTGGATAGCTGTTTGGGTCAATAAACTACATGAAAAAATACACTTTGGAGCCGAATGAGTAATAAACTCATAAGTGATTTTTTGGTTGAATACATAGAGAATGATATTCTTAATTGTTTGAATGATGAATATAATTTATAAAACTTTCAAAATATGAGAACGCGTAATATATTGTAAATATTGATAAAAACATCTTTTTTTACTTACTTCAGACAAAATTCTAGCTACCTGACTATATAAAATTTTGAATTTAGGTTTCTAAGAACAATTAGCAAGGTGATTGACAAGAAGTTCATTCCCTCTTCTTTGGCTTATATTTCTCCTGTTCTCTATTTTACTGACGCGATTCAGGATAATAATACAAGATTTACCTATATTTGGGGAGTCAAGCCAAGCTCTGCAGCGGCTATGGATGTGCATTTAGCTTCATTGTTTGCAAGCCCATGTACAATCAATTTTATGGGTAGCTTTTTACATTTTTGACAATTTTTAACTCCCTCAATCCACAACTAGCTTTTCATCCCACCGCGGTCTCTCTCTCTCTCTCCCCCTCCCTTTGTATAGATAAATAAACCTACCCCTTTATCAATCTATCCATTCATCTCCATTCCGTCATCAACTAGGGAAAACTCCCTCATAAAACAAGAGAAGAAATTGAAAGATTGCTTTCATTGGATCTTCTTGGCCCAAACTAATCCGTTGAATCCAATTCCACCTGCATGTTTTGTGCTCTTTCAGTTTGGCTTGAGCGAAGATAAATATAAAACATGAGGTCTAAGTTCATACCTTCATCTACTTCCACCCTCATCCCTTTGTTGAAATTGTAGGTTTCGTTATGAATCTTAATTTTTTTAGGGAGCGGAAGAAAATGGTCAATAGGGTTGTCGTGACATCCATGTCGTGACATGCATGTCGTCCTCAAAGTTAGATCCATTCTTGCATAGGTCTATGATAACACTGCATTTGTACATGTTTCCCTTTCATTTCTCAATCATTTTGGCTTGGATTTGTATGTTCATTGGCCTATTTTACGCTAAGTTGTTTTTATTTGAGATATTTCAGGTCCTAGATTGTAAATTGGATGCTCATGAGTGGATTTCGGGACAAGCTGGAGACTACGAGATAAAGTTAGCATCACTAGGCAGATTACCCGGCCTTGGATCGTGATTACCCGGACGTGTATCTTGAAGAGGAGCTCGAGTATAATTACAGGAGGTAATCCCCCGGGTGTTGATGTAAATCCCCGGCTGGGTGACTCGAGCAGGTCACTTAACCATGCACTACATTTGAAGAATCCCCGGGGTCAGGGGAGATATACCTGCCCGAGGAATATGGCCAAGGAATATGTCACGAGTTGGTGTAAAAGTGAATTTTGGGTTTTTGGCTAAGGATCCGATTTTCCAAGTTCCGAAACAACAAGAGAGAGCTAGAGAGCTAGAGAGAGAGAGAGAGAGAGAGAGAGAGAGAGAGAGATAGTGACAAAGAACAATCTTGGGAGGTGATTGGAGTCGTCTAAGATCATTGGATCTTGATCCTTCACCCTCGGAGTGTCGATTCGTAACCTAGAGAAGAATTACATCTTTCACATGATGTTTTCGACATCCAGTTTTGTGTTTTCTCTACTCTCCATGGAGTAAACTCTCTTCTCATTTAAGTAGGAAGAACCCTAGTCGTGTATGTTTGGAATGATTGTATGAAACCATTTTCATGGATGATTGCTTATCTTATACTCAATTAAGGCATTATTCAGAATTGTATGAGTCTTGATCAAATTCCTGTGGTTCCTGCTTTAAACGAGAATGATCGTCTTTGCATAGGTTAAATGAACAGCCTTAATTGGAAGTAGTGAATCGATTGCTTTAGTCGAGAAGTCGATTCACTACTCTATACTGGAATTGAAATCTAGTGGAGGAGGTTTCGTGTGGTAGTGGGTGAGTTAGTTTATTCCAGTGGAGGTTAGTCGCCCACGGGGTATTCGAATAGACAGGGTTTTGTGTGGTAGTGTGCTGGTTAGTTTATTCCTGGGTGACCTTCTCATACTTGAAAACACGAAACATTTATTTTCTTTCTTCCTGCTTTACTTACAATCAACTTCACCCAATTTTTACCGCTAGATACTAGAATTTCACCGAGTAAGCAATAAACCTAGGAACCGCGTTTACATTTAGAACCTAAACCACTATAATGCATTCCTAGATTGCAATCATACTTGGTCGTAGTTTAGTTGTGTTGGTAAAGGCGTGTCAAGTTCTTGGCGCCATTGTCGGGGATGGCTAGGTTATTGAGGAAACGTGAAAATCTATTACTTTAGCAATCACTTTTATGCATTCTCTCTCTTGCACCTATTTTCCTTCACAAGTTGTCTTTTCAGCGTGTGTTTAAGTAGTGGATGACCCGTAGCCAGTCAAGAGATCTACTGCCTTTGTATCACAAACTTGAACGGACCTGTCACTAGTTCAAGAAAGCACCGCGAGTGCGAGTGGCTGCGGAAGAGAACCTGGACAAGGTTATTGTCACAAAAGGGTTAGCAAGCAACGAAGAAGAAGCTATGGGTGATCCTAATCATCAAATGAGGGATGTGAATGGCCAAATGCAACTAGAGGAGCAGACCATGGGTATTACCTGACAGCCAGGGCCGAGGACTTGAGATTAAGTATCCAACACCCTCAAGTTGATGGCAACAACTTTGATGTGAAACTTCAGTTATTCAGATGTTGAAGTCCTCGGTGGTTTTCAAAACACCAAAGGAGGGTTGGTTTTTGGAGCAGAAATTGATTTTCTCTCTATTTAGATCCAACACACCAAAGGGGACTTCTAGTGAGAGAGAGAGAGAGAGAGAGAGAGAGAGAGAGAGAGAGAGTTCTTGAGTGATCTTGGAGTTTAATTGAAGGCATTGATCAAGTTTGGAAGCAAGGAATCAAGCCTAGAAGAAGAAGATCTTGTGCTCCAATTTCTAATCTCTCTCTTCTCTCTATAAAAACTTGCCCTCTTCTCTTGGGTTTAGGAACCCTATGTCTAGGTTTTGGTTTTATGTTGATGTATTTGACAAATTCCATGTTTGATTGATGATTTTCCTTAATTGATGGATGTTTTAATGAATGACATGAGTTTGGTTTCCCTTTCATGTATTGAGGTTTTGACCTAGGAGTGAGAAAATCTCCTTAGACCTCACTATTGACATCTTCGGGTTACTCCTATCGTATATTGTCCGTGTAATCCTCAAGGGAGTTGATTCAATCGGTCTCCTAGCAATATATGAACCCCTAGGTTGAATAGAGCACCTACCCATCCATCGATTCGCCGTTTCGGGTCAATCCCGAGGGAGTCTATCTCGTAACGGTAGAGTAATTGAGATGATCGAACTAGGATGATACTCAACGTCGATCCAAATGTCGGAACTAGGGGCTTCATCCCAAGAGAGATCCGAACCTTGTAAATAGCTAGGTCAGTTAGTTTAGTCTTCTTAATCACTATCTTAGGTTGGCTAGATAAGGAACCCTAAACCTGAAATAAAGTAAGCTTAGATCCTCGTGGTACGATAAATTTTATTTCTTGATTACCTATGTTACACCCGGTCGTCGGTCATACTTGGCCGTCGATTGGGAAGTTGTAGTTAGGAAAGAGTCAAGTTTTTGGCACCGTTGCTGGGGAACCATTATAGGTTATGAGAAAAAGGCTAAGCTCGTTACTTTATCCATTTTTTTAAGTTTTGTGTTTGTTGACTCACTCTTCGTTTTGAAGGGTGGTTTGTGTTTGTTTGATTTTCTTTTCTTGTTTTTGTGTTGGTAGGTTGAATCATGGATCCCAATGGCTTCTACATACTGTGGGGGTATCCACAACCACCCGAATGGGGGGTACCCCGGAGCTTCATGGAACAATCAAGAGGGTGGAACCCATGGAACCGTGTTATATGACTAACCTCCCTTCCAACAAGAATAAGCATACCATTGGGGATTTCAAAAAGCTTCCCCATATGAAGAAAACTTCCCTCCTCAAACTTTGGAGAAATCCAAGTTGGAGTTGGCATTGGAGACTTTCATGGGACATTCCTCCAGACCATGTGCCACTCCACAACCAGAGCCAAAGAGTAAATTGGAGCTCATGGTGGAGCAGTTTTCCCGAGGCACCGATGAAGCGTGCGCGAACTTGGATCTCCCACGACCCAAATAGAAGTCTAAGTTGGAGCTTGCCATGGACATATAAACCGTGTTTAGAATCGATTTTTCGAAAAGTCAAAAGTACAAAGCATTCATATCCAACGCTAGAGTTTTCCTCGCCGGAAAACAGATTGTAACTCCGTTATTATTACGACCCTATCTTGTCCCGAAAGTATCTAATCCAACCCAACAAGTTCCAAGGAGAGTACTTATCAGGATTCCTGTGTGGTATCATATTAAGTTGGGTTATAGTACTTGTACACAGACTTAAACCGCGGTTCTTAATTTACACTTTTGTTTGGTCTTATTGGCAAAGTGTTCAGAGGTTAGACAATTCGCTTCCTTTTCTGGGAACCCTATTTCCTGGCCGGGCAGCTGGTGTGGTTACATTGGAAGATCACATACTATAAAAAATTTAAGAGGGATTTGATTTGATTCGATGGTTTATCAGAAACTTCCTTTGTCAGGAACGTTAATGCTAATCAATTAACTTAATTACCCGGGATTCCACCAACACATAATTAAGGACCTAATTAATCAAGCACCCTTAATTAGACACCTCATCCTGCACCCTGGCCAGCTTATGCTCCATTTGAAGATTTCCCATATCGATTCCTTCAATCTTAGTCATGACGAAGTCCCGGCACATGATGCAATAAAAGTCTACTGGTTCTAGAATTGTGGTCTTTATTTAATCGGGGCTTGTTATAGCTATCTAGGTTTTACAGATCGCACTTCATCTAGCTGTGGCTTTGCGACAGCCTGGACTATGTAGTTGCATGTTGGTCTCTCATTCTTTGACCATGTGGGAGAACTGTTCAGCTAGCCCTAAAAACAAAATTAGGATCCCGTATCTTTCACCATCAGATTATGAAACCCATTAATAATCGATTTATGGCCCCATGTGGGTCATGAGAATGGTCTATAATATTGTTACATACTCAATCGTGCCACCAACATCCCGGGAGAAGCCGCACGCAGATGGTGTATATAATGGACTGTCACCAAACTGCACAAATTACATTTCCTTCCATCATTTCCCCATCGATCTAGCTAGCTAGTACTCGATCTATACTACTCTTGAAAACCCTAGATCCAAAAAAATGGTTGTTGCCTCAGCCAACAGCAGCTCCCTGTGGGGCATCAAAATTCAAGTACCGTATCGGAAATACAGGTCCAGCCCGCAACTAAGTTTCGGGCGAGGAGCAGGAGGAAAGGTCGTCGTCGCCCTTGCCCCGGCCCGAAACGATGGTGATGTGGCGAGGAAGGGTAGTGCTGCTGCTATAGCCAGCAGTACTACCACTGCTCTACACACCGCCATGTCACGGACCAAAACGGCCACCTCGTCGTCGTCGTTTCTGCCACCTCCGGTGACGACGTGGACGACTGCTAATAAGAGCAATATTATTGATGGTCATGTGGACGGCGACAAGTTGAAGCTGGACTTCCGCAGTGATTTCGCGAGTGAGCCTGCGGGCGGCGGCGTGCTGGTGGAGAATGGGCTGGTCTACAGGGAACGTGTCCTGGTGAAGTCGTTTGAGATTGGTCCTGACTGGAAGCTCACCATGGGCTCTTTGATGAAGTATTTTCAGGTTGGTTTTTCACTACTTTTTTTTTTTAAAAAAAATTTCGTGCGTTATATATGGAGCTAGTTTCTCTAATCTAAAATTTTGTGTAAAAATAAAAATGATGATCAGGATACGGCGCTAAGCCACACTGCGTGCATGGGAATAGTGGCTGAAGGTTTTGGATGGACACCTTACATGAGAAGCAACAACCTCTGCTGGGTCGTCACTGCTACACACGTAGTTGTCAACCGCTATCCTTCTTGGTAATTAATTAATTAACCAAATCTGGTCCAAAATGGGAATTTGCCCTCTTGGGTTTTCGATTTCACTAACGTTGTTGGTTGAATCATAAACTTATTCTGATTCCCAGGGGCGAGGTGTTCCAGCTGGACAACTGGCTGTACGCGTCAGGGAAGAATGGGCTGGGCAATGATTGGCTTATTCGCGACGGGAAGACGGGCCAAGTCTTAGTTCGAGCCACCAAGTAATTATTCATGGAATCAAACATCTTTCTAATCTAATTTAGTAGTTAAAAATTTGATTTAATAAATCATTTTTTGTTTTGTGCAGCTGTTGTGTGATGATGAACAAAAAAACCCGGAGACTGTCGAGGTTCGTGCAGGAAGTGAGAGATGAGTTTGCACCGCATTTCTTAACGGTTAGCGATTCCGTGGCGCCCCGAGACAAGCGCAAAATACAACGGATCACTATTGAATCCGCAGATAACGTTCGCACCGGCCTAAGTGTAAGTGAATTCTATGAGATGAGGATGCATGCAATGAGATTAATTAGGGTTAAAACTCACAGCAGACGGCCGGGTTTTCTCTTTATGTGTACAGCCTGGATGGAACGACTTGGATATCAATTATCACGTGAGTAACGTCAAATACATCGACTGGATTATCGAGGGAGCCCCGCGTTGGATCTTGGAGAGTCGGGAGCTTTGCGGGATGACGTTGGAGTACAAGAAAGAGTGCAGAATAGACGACGGCGGGATTCAGTCGCTGTCCAAGATGGTGGGGAATTCGTTGGAGGGTGACGGCGTGGAGTTGGAGCATTCGCTTTGCATGGAAGATGGATCCGAAATAATGAGAGCCCGAACCAGCTGGCGCATCAAATCCAATGTCAGGGCTCCTGCTCCGGCTCGATGCCGCACCATGTAATTAATAAAATAAAAGCCCTAACTCCACGGCATATAATAATAACAACTTATTATAACAAAAGGGATGAATATAATTCAAAACAAAACAAGGGGAACTAGCTAGTTAGTACGTTAGTAATGTTCATTTAGTAAATATTGTTAATATTGTTGTGCCTTGGATCAAGATTTTCACTGCGTACTACTGGGGTCTTTTTTGGAAGAGAAAGACTTTGGTATTGGGTGGGTTGTAAACTTCAATCAAGTTTTTACTGCTGAGTCTTTCTCCAAAAAAAGAAAGGCTACAGCATTGGGTTTTTATTTGAATATACAAATATAGATTTCTATCCTATCGATTTCTAGATTAATAAAGTATCAATTGACACCAATGTCGATGGTGTTTCCCGGCGAGAAAACATTTTTTTAGACAACAAATTCTAAGACACGGCTCACAACTCTTCAAACAAAATTCGAATGAGGGTGTTTGATTGATGGTTTTTGGGAACGAGATCTAAGTTAAATTACTTCTACTCCTACGGAGGTTCAGCAAGAGCTCCAACTACGACTAAGGCTACATTGCATAGAAAAAGATAAAGTTTGATATTGGGTGTCAAATGGTTGGTTGTGGAACCGCTGTCTCTGTCGACCCCTCCTCCTATTTATAGCGATGAAGAGGTAACCGTCGTGGAAAACTGCCTCTAGGATAACTCCCAAAAAGAAATCGCTCCCTGCTTCTTTGGACGTGGCTGACATGTCTCTTGAACATGGTATGAGTGGCATTTCATCTCTCAACTTCCTAGGTACCCCCTTGAAAACCGTCGTTCTCTTGGAGTAATTTCTTGGAGTATAGCTTGCCTCATTTGGTCTTGTTCCAAATCTCGTGTCATGCTAGTCTTTTGATAAGCATGTCGTGTCTCACAAAGGGGTCGTGGTCCTCTTGCCTCGTGGCCATGGACTTCTGACTCATGTCCATGGCCCTCTTGGGACTTAGTCACTAGTGCCATAATTCTCCACCACCACACCCTTCTCATTCGTGTCCATGACCTCTCTCATAAGGCGGCATAGACCTATCAATCATGCTCATGGCCCCTCTCATGAGGCGGCATGTTCTTCCGAGACTTAGTATATTTTGGGTCGTTTAGTCTAGATCATGAGGCGGCACGGCCATGGATTTCTCATTAATGTTTGTGGACCTTCCCATGACACGACATGGCCTTCTCATACTTAGTATTTTTCAATCGTGCCTAGGTCCTCTTGTCTCGCGTCCATGCCTCTTCTCGTGAAGCGGCATGAACCTCTCAGATTAGTCATTTTTTTCTCATATGAGAGATATCTCTCACGCGTCATGGCCTCTTCCTTCTTTAGCCATGCCATCATCTCTCTAGTCAAGTGACATGCACATCTATGAGACATGCATGACCCTCTTCGTGAAGCGGCATGTACTTCTCGTTCCAGAATAAGTTTATTTTTCAGTTATTCGGTCTTGGTCGTGGGGCGGCATGTGCTCTTCAATTTTGAGACGGACATGGCACTTTCGTGAGGCGACACATACTTCTACATTTTATATGGATATGACCCTCTTCGTTGAGGCGACATGTCCCTCTCCAGACTTGGTGGTTTGGGCTTAAAATCAATATACATAAGGCTCAACTTAAACAACATTAATTGTTATAATGGGTGTGGCCTTATAAACTCATTGATTATCTTGTAACTTACCAATGTGGTACAAGACAAATTTTATGGTGTAAATAAATGCCCCAACTATTTAATGCATAAGAATTATGGACTAAATAGTTGATCACAACTTGACCACATATTCGCCACAAGTACAAACCAATTCAACGAGCTTACCGCCGACTTACCACCCATCTTCGTGATATGGCATAAGAACCCCCAAACCCTCAACCATTTTTACGTAACTTCCCTTTATTGAGTTAGTGAAATTGATGGCATATAAGCCACGTTTGCAAATTGAGATGGCCCGTGGTTATTTTTAAACAAAATTCCATCAGGCTAGCAAGACCTTGCTTGCCCACTCGACCGAATCGCCATGGCCAATTGATCCTTGTCTCCCAGTCCCGTCTTGTCCTTGTGCTGGTTAACTCTTGTTTTTTTTTCTTAAGTAAATTACTTAGCCACGTACAATGAGTCACCAGGACAAAGCAACAAGTCGCATCTCGTCTTGGGTCATGGGTTTCAACTTAGATTTTTTTTTTCCAATCCTTTGCGTGGCTAGCTATGCCAACCACGTCCTACTTGTCCACATCAAGATTTTTTTTTTTGACATATCTATTTCTCATGGCATGCTATCAAAGCCTCATACTCTAACTAGCCATCACTCATCTCCAAGGCACCATACCTTTCATGTTGTGGCCATCACTCATTCCTGTGGGTAGTTGAAACAAGATGCCATGCCATAGCATATCATGATTTGATATATAACTCGGCATGCCAAGCTATCATAATGACTTGGTGACAAGATCTTCACATCGAACTCTAAAAAACTCTGCTCAAAATTTTCAATTTTGATATATTTTTCTAACCATTGTTTGTTGTTGTTGTTGCTGCTACTACTACTATTATTATGATTATTTTAATTATTATTATGTATACTTATTTATTAATATGGCAAGGAGTGACAGAGTCAGTGCTCTCCATTGCCTTAGGCAACAACTAATGCGCCAAAGGTGTACACCCACTGCCAAGTCCATGGATTGAAGCAGGCAACTCATCCATAGACCACATGCCTATTTTCCTCCATTGGACATGACTCTCCATACATTAATTTTGAATCTTCTATTTTACGAATGGGTGGTACTTGGTTGACATGTCTCTCCTTGGTGGCCTTGCATGGAGTCCTATGGTCCTCATCTTCAGGCACTTCATGCCTTAGACGACCATGAGTTCTCCTCTGCCTTGGTTGCCTCTTGATTGCGGCATGCCTACTATCCTCATGTTTTTGGAGAACATGCCTAGGCTTTCCAAGTCAGCTTACACCCATGTGCCACACTTGACTATTTTTTTCACCATCTAAACCTTGTTGCCCCCTACACTTAACACACAACCGTCCTTGTTTCTTTGTGTGACCCTATTTGGTTGGTGTGTATGGTGACTTCTTATACATGCCCCCATGTTCACCATTCATGGTTGATGGCATGTACTTATTACTTATGGACACGGACTTTTCCCCTTGCCCGTACTTAGCCAAAATTTCATGCTTGTCACAAGCATGTGTGGCTTGGACTCTTTGTGACTTATTAGACATGCATCCTACTCCATTATTCATGGCGGGTGACACGCCCTCTAGTCCATACTTAGCTAAATTATCAAAACTACGAGAACTCTTTTTGGCTTTCCCGCGTCTTTCCTTGTTGTACTTGCCCTCATTTCCACTGTTTGTGATTGGTGGCATGCCCTCTTGTCCACTCTTTGTAGTTGGTGATAAGTACTCACTACTCATAGAGATGGACTTGCCCCCTTGTCCACTCTTGGCCATACTCCTAGATTTACGTAAACAATAGGTGGCTTGGACGTGTTGTATCTTATTGAACATGCCCCCTACTCCATTCTTCATGGGAAGTGACATGCTCCCTTGTCTAGACTTAGACAAACTAGTATGCTTATCACAAACATGTGTGGCTTGCACTTCATATGGCTTCTTGGACATGCCTTGTCCATACTCAGCTAAATTTTCAAATTTACAATAACTTTGTATGGCTTTCTCATGTCGTGACTTATTAGGTATGCCCCCATGTCCACTGCAAGTGGTTGGAGGTATGCCCACTTTCCAGACTTAAGCCAAAATAGTATGCCTAGCACAAGCAAGTGTTGCTTGTGATTGATGTGACCTCTTAGACACCACATGCCCCCTAGATGGACATCTCGGCTTAATCTTGTGGGATGGTAGAGCTTAATGCCCCCTTTCTGGACTCTAGGTGGTTTGAGTCCATTGGAATCCGCTCCTTGCCTACTCACTAGGGGTGGCATTGGGGGTGGGCGAATAGATGTTGGTACTCGGTCCAATTCGAATGAATCTCCGCCACCTATGTCATTGAAAGGTGTCATAAATTTTCTTATAATGCACGATTGAAAACCATCTTGTACAGACAAGTCCCCCTCGTGGATGTTGAATGAGGCGGCAGACCTCTCACAAGAACTCTCACGTTGAAGTGGTGGTTGGTTTGTCAATGGCGCTGATAAGCTCTCTTGCCATAGTTGGCCATTGTGGCCACTAGTTAACAGTTGTGTCAACTCATTAAAATCAATTTTATTTTTATCAAGAAACTCAACAAGTTGACAAAAACGCATATCTAGACGAGAATTGAGAGACTCAATTTGAGAACTTACCTTATGGGTACTTCTCGCATAGGTATCCTTCATGAAATTTAGGTTATCCACTATCACTTGACGGTTTTCCTTCATCACTTGGTGGTTCTCCTCCAAGGATTGACAATTCTCAATCATCATCTTGCGATTTTCCTCCAACATCTGGTGAAGTAGCATGACGTTGGTGGTTAAATGAACGCTTTGTGCCGCCGGTGGCAAAGTCTTCGCCATGCCATTGCTTCTACAACACGTGTCTTGGCCAAATTCAAACTTAGTCACTTGCTTCATAACAAATTCAGTTGAGAGATCACCTTCTTGTTGCTTCTGTCTTGGATTCATCAACTCGAACACACTGTCCCATCAGGTAGGGATGGCAACAAACCCCGAATCCATGGGTACCCTACCCGACCCAACCCGGTCAACGCGTGTAAAACTAGGGTTGACGGGTTTTGGGCCGGATTTAGGTTTAAACCCATTCACTATCCACCGGGTTGGGTTAAGGTAAACCCGTCCCATGGGTACCCGCTCACACCTATTTTATCAATTTTCCCAGTATATTTAATTTTCTAAACAACTAATCTTCTTTATGTTTGTGGAGGCATGCCTAATTTTTTCTTTCTAATTGTCTAGAATGAAGTTGATATTATCGAGAGGATAGTGAAGAAGCTTAATTGACAAGGAGGAAGAAGCGTTCAATTAATCATGTTATTTATGGATAATTTGTGATTTGCTTGAATTTTCTTGAGTTTTCTAGGTTGGTGTTGAACAATTTGTATGGTTAATTGTGATTTGCTTGAATTTTCTATAATGGTATTTTATATATGGATAATATGTATTGAGAGATTGATATTTGACTTTTATTTTGATAGGAACTTTTTATTGTAATTTTTTTTACGACAAAAATCCATGGGTACCCATGAACCCGCAGATACCCAGCGAGTTGAGTTGGGTTTGAGTTTTTCAAACCCAGTGGTTTTGCCCCGGTTTTCTTTTTTCACGGATAACTCATGAGTTTTGGTTTTAAAAAAACCCGAATCATTGCCATCCCTACCGCCAGGTGTGCCAATTTGTTTGCCGGCGAGAAAACCTGCGTTGAAATAAATGGACTGATTGCACCTTTGACTTCTTTATACAACGATTTCTAAGACACGGCTCACACCTCTTCAAACAAAGTTCGAACGAGGGTGTTAGATTAATGGTTTTTTGAACGAGATCTAAGTTAAATTACTTATACTCCTATGGAGGTTCAGCGAGAGCTCCAACTACGACTAAGGCTACATTGCAAAGAAAATTATAAAGTTTGACAATGGGTGTCAAATGGTTGGTTGTGTAGCCCCTGTCTCTGTCGACCCCTCCTCCTATTTATAGCAATGAAAAGGTAACCCTCGTAGAAAACTGCCTCTTGAAGAGGTACCCCTCTTGAAAATCGTCGCTCTCTTGGAAACCGTCATTGAATCTTGGAGTATAGTTTGCCTCACTTGGTCTCTTTCCAAATCTCGTGTCATGCTAGTATTTTGATAAGCATGTCGTGTCTCGCAAAGGGGTCATGGTCCTCTTGCCTCATGGCCATGGACTTATGACTCATGTCCATGGCCCTCTTGGGACTTAGTCACTAGTGCCATATATCTCCACCTCCACACCCTTTTTATTCATGTCCATGACCTCTCTCGTAAGGCGGCATAGACCTCTCAATCATGCACATGCCCTCTCTCGCGAAGCGGCATGTTCTTCTGAGACTTAGTATATTTTGGGTCGTTCAGTCTAGATCATGAGGCGGCTTGGCCACTTCATTCACGGCCATGGACTTCTCATTAATGTTTGTCGCCCTTCTCATGACACGACATGACCTTCTCATACTTAGTATTTTTCAATCGTGCCTAGGTCCTCTTGTCTCGTGTCCATGCCTCTTATCGTGAAGCGGCATGGACCTCTCAGACTTAGTCATTTTTTGTCTCATATGAGAGATGTCTCTCACGCGTCATGTCCTCTTCCTTCTTCAGCCGTGCCATCATCTCTCTAGTTAAGAACTTAAGATGACATGTACGTCTACGAGATAGGCATGACCCTCTTCGTGAAGCGGCACGTCCTTCCTTCTTATTGAAGCGGCACATGCTTCTTGTTCCAGACTTAGTTTATTTTCAGTCATTCGGTCTTGGTCGTGGGCCGACATGTGCTCTTCAATTTTGAGACGGACATGGCCCTGTTCGTGAGGCGTCATATGCTTCTATATTTTAGATGGACATGCCCCTCTTCTTTGAGGAGGCATGTCCCTCTCCAGACTTAGTGGCTTGGGCTTAAAATCAATATACATAAGCCCAACTTGAACAACACTAATTGTTATAATGAGTGTGACCTTATAAACTCATTGATTATCTTGTAACTCACCAATGTGGTACAAGACAAATTTTATGGTGTAAGCAGATGGGATGCTTAACCTTGTGGTAACAACCCCTCCATAACCTGTCACATCAAGTTATCAACGTTACATCCCCATCCCCTGCCACTCATAGAAGGACCCTAACCATTTCTCTTTTAATTTTTAACGGACAATTTTTCTCCTGTTTTAAGTCCCAATTTCATTTTTTATGCACAAATAAATCAGATAAATTGTGATTTACAAAATGATAACCACTATGATATATTTTTGGAACAAAAAACTTGACACATTTAGTACTAGTCTATACCATGGCGGTACTGCTTGGTACTACATAAGATCATACCACGTTATAGGGAAGTGTACCACGGTAGTATGAACATAACATAGTGATGGTTGAAATACACGATAGTAGGAACATACGAACTTTCATTTACCACATTCACCATTGTGTGCCGCTAGTTACCACCACTATACCAGGGTGGTACGGAGTGATACGTTATAGTCCTATATAACCCCCCCCCCCCCCCCCCCAAAAAAAATTGTGGATCCAATAGATCAAGAAAATTTCGTTCCAACTGTGCAAAAAATTTCAGAATTCGAGTTAAAAACGAAGGTGGTAACGAGTGGTATGAAAAAAAAATTTGTCGAAATATATTGAAAATATATCACATTTTGTAGATCACTACGAACTATTTCAATCTATGCAAAAAAATTTGAAATCCAAGTTAGAACGAAGAAGATAAGAGCTGATAAGTAAACTAGGGAAAATAAAAACTTTTAAATCTCATCTTTTAGATATGAATATTTAGGACCCAGTTAAATCCAAAGGTTCGGATTTAGTTACGGAAGGGTGTTTTTCTAGAAATAGCACTGTTTAAAAAAAAATTCCAAAAATAGCACCCAACTTCGAAAAATTCCAAAAATAGCACACTTTCCCAAAACCCGCCACCCGTACTAGAGGTTTAGGAGAAAACCGCCACCCGGGGGCGCGTTCTTCGATGAAAACCGCACTGGTAGGGGGCGGTTTTGCAAACCGCACCCCCACCATGCGGTTTGGTTGCAGACCGCACCCCCACCATGCTAAAAAGGGAAGGTAAGCTATTCCCAAAATCTTGTATATCCAAAAATAATTCATGTTTTGAAAATTCATTCCTAGTAAAAATTGTAGTCCTTAAAAAGTTATGCGAAATGAAAAAAAAATATTCATGAAGTTCGGATTTTGGAGCTCAATAACTTTAAACAACCATAACTTTGTGCTCCAAAATTCGAACGTACATTTCGAAAATATTGCGCCCGCTTTTTGGATATCCAGGATTTTGGGAATAGCTTACCTTCCCTTTTCAGCAATCCACGTACATTTTGAAACTATGTCTATGATAAGAGTTGTATTCCTAAAAAATTTATGCGAAATAAAAAAAATAATGTCGTTTGGATTTTGGAAAACAAAGTTATGGTTGTCTAAAGTTTCACGAAATCGGAAAAAAGCTCGTTCGGGGTAGCAAACGACATTTTTTGGGACGAAGGCGGGACCAACCCACCTTCGACAGTCTCCGGCTTGCAAGATCTCTAAAGGTTATGCGGGAAAAAAAAATTGCGACGATCGGATACCAGAACACAAAGATACGTTCGTTTGAAGTTTCCACCTAGGTTAGGATTTAGAAAAAAAAAAGACTGTATGATGGGGGTGCGGTCTGCAACCAAACCGCATGGTGGGGGTGCGGTTTGCAAAACCCCCCCTTACCAGTGCGGTTTTCATCGAAAACGCGACCCCGGGTGGCGGTTTTTGCCTAAACCGCTTGTACGGGTGGCGGTTTTTGGGAAATGGTGTTGTTTTTGGAATTTGTCGGAGTTGGGTGCTATTTTTGAAAAAAAAAATTAATAGTGCTATTTCTGGAAAAATCCCATAACTAAGGGTTATGCACCCTATCCTGGACCTAATTTATGGATGCATAACTTTACATAATCCTGTACTTACCATTTATGAAAGGCTACTAACTTTTTCTAATAAATTTTGACAGGTTGTATATCTTTTGTTTCAATTAAAAATTAAATAAATTTATACAAAAAGATCAGATAATTTGTGTTGTTTCAAAATGACATCCAACTTGATATATTTTGGAGCCAAAAAAGTTGTGACTTTTATTACTATTGGGTAACACTTGGTATGTACATAAGATTATATCACATGGTATGAGAGTGTATCATGGTGGTATGGACACAATAGAGTGTAAAATGGCTCCATACATCATAGTAAAAACATATTAACCGACATTTAGTACTTTTCATCAATGTATTTTGTTTTTGATTGACCCTAAGGTTCGAACGCAGGGTGTGGTGGATGTTCTTATACTCACATTACCATTAGTCTAATTCCTTGAGCATTTTGTTCACTTAGTTTATAAATTTTTTCCACATTCGTCATAGATAAAATTCACTTATTTATTAGTCACTCTCGATTTCATTTATTCTCGGTCATTGGCAGTCCAATTACTTAAAATTCTTCCTATGTGGCACTCAAATGTGTGACCTTTGACCTTTAGATAAATGAAGTGGAAATTAAAAATGGGGTATTTCATACTTGTCTTGTAAGTTGCTTATGATCCATTACCAATGATCAGAATCTGATTCGGGCACAATTGTTTACGTTTTATCCCCGATTTTCTTAGTCAATTGAGGCATTAATACTTCGGGAGGTTTGGCTTTACGCCGATTTTTGTCTCGTTTTTGTACATTTTAGTCTATAGCATGTGGAACCAACCCCAGAGTCAAAAGTTGGACGAAAAGGCGCAAAATCGGGTCAAAGGATAGAGGCAGTAGCAGATCACTGTGGAAGCAGTGAGTTCACGGTCAGGGAGACCGTGAACTGGAGCCGTAAATCGTGAACCACCAGGCTTCAAGAGCCATTTTGGTTCTCACTGGACTCAATTCAGTTCACGATCGTAAGACCGTGAACCCAAGCCAAAGACCATGAACATAGTTAGTGATGCGGCGCATTTTGGCCCGAGATAACGGTCCCCACCTTGAGTTCACCTCCGTGAGATGGGACTGTGATGTGAGCCCGACCTGGGTATAAAAGGAGGCTTGAGCTGAAGGAAGAGGAGGGGAGACCTTGATGAGAAAACCTTCTTCTTCAACATTCTAGAGAGAGAAAGTGACGAGCAAAAAGAGAGAAGAACCTAGGGTTTCACTCCAAGGCAAGGATTTGGGAAAATCTCCCCCATAGGAAGATCTCTTCTATACAAGGACGGATTCAAGCATCTCCATGATGGTTTTTCTTCTTTCTCCTTGTGTTTTTCCCTATCCTAGCATGGTGTAGTTTCCCTTTTCACATGGGTGTTTGGAAACCCTAACTTCTACCATGTGAGTGATTGTATGGAATGATTGTCTATTTGTTGGTGTGTTTTAATAGG